ATTATTCAAACTGAGACGAGGGATATCAGCAGTCCTCTACTGAAATTAGTGCATTATGAAATTTAAATTCAATCTTACTTTAGGGAAAATAAATAATCCAAAAGTCCTTTCTTCTTACAGTGCTTCTCTGTGTTTATTTTGATACTATGAATAGATCCCACAAAAGTTGAAGAACATCCTCAAATACAAATGCACTTTTCAGCCAATTACTTTTCTAAAACGTTTACAATATAATTCAAAGCAAAAGAGAAATACAAACACTTTAACTACTCTCGCTTTTCATGTAGGTAGCAGTAGGTACAAATGATAAATAACATTCCTATTTGATTATGATCACAATCATAAAGCTCACGGTGGAGTGATGGCTTTAATAGTTCAAATAACCTGACTTAGGCTTTAGGTTCAAAAGGGCTAATCTCACAAGGAGGGAAATGTAAATTTTAAAGGAAAGCATTCAAATTCTATTGAAATATTTCAAGATTATTCCTTGTTCACACAAATTCATCTATCTAAAGAATTCCAAGTTTGGCAAGTAAGGAGAAGGACTTATTGGAACTTATAAATCTTATAAGGACTTCCCTGTCTTTGGGAGGGGAAGACAACTTAAGTAAAACAGACCACCCTTTCTCTCTCTCTGTAAATCAGTTAAATGTTTTTGATTGTTAAGCATGAAAAGAAGGGAATAATAAATGGAGGATAACTCCCTCAATATTGACCGGAATACAAAGACATGCAATTTTCTTACAAAATCATTTAGTCCTGTGCTGCAGGTATCTCCTCCCATGCACTCTCAAATGAAACAAGATTCTCATGAAAGAGTGAGTGATCCACGCTGTGGAATCAGTACACTTGTTTGACCACGACAGTGTTCAGGAGATAGATGGCTACAGGCTTTCGAAAATTGCGCTAAGTATTAAAACCCTTTTTCAACTGTAGTTTGGTAGCCATGAATTCTGTATTTGCAGGCTTCTCTATACCTCAGTGATGTTTCTTGTTTCGCAGTAATCTTTGCTTTTTTATTTTCACAATCCCTTCAGGATCATATCCTACTGTTAATCTTGATGAAGAAGAGGAAATGTTTCCCTCATGTGGATACAATTGATTCACAGCTTAACAAATTCAGAAATAAAAGGTTATCCAATATCTAGACCATCTTTTTAGGAAGTTGCAGTGCTGTACAGCGCAGTAAGCTATTGGCCTACTGAAGCACTATGGCATGAACTTAGAGCTCACTTTGTACTGCTTTGGTCTTGAAATATGAAGATATTATGTCAAACAACACCCTACTTTTCTGTCTCTGCTTCATAGCATTGATTTTTAGGTAAAATACCACTACTTCTGCACAAAAGTTGGATTAGCAGCCTGGTGCTATAGGTTCACTATTTTCAGCTATTTATGAGATAAGATAATAACAAATGAATTTGTTCCATAAGATACTTCTGTTGTAAATAGAACAGATTTTCATTTTCGAGGACAAACCTTCGACTATGCTTACCAGCTAACCACAGTTGTCAAACATCATGCCCTCTGGTCTGCCATTTTTGCTTAGATTAAAGAGCAAGGAACAGTGAGGAACATCTAGATTCAAAGGGCAAGTGAGATAAAGATAAAGTCTAGGAGCAATGTGACTTGACTCCATCTGGAAGCAATGGAAAAAGAGACTAAAAAAGTTGTAATGAGAGTAGAGTGCTACTAGTGCAGGGCAAGGAAAGTATTCTTTTACTCAACTAAAACATAAATACAGGTTTATGGGGAAACCAGTGTAAAAAGAGAAATCTAGATTAAGACGATTAAAAAAGAGGCATGACACAAGCAGAACATTGAAATATTGGCTAATAACATGGACTTACATTTTACTTAAAAAAAAACAACTTGTATACTTCTTTTTGTGCACCACCCAGGACGACTGGCATTTTTATTTCAGTGTCTCTTCTCCTTCTGTTGCTACAATGAACTACTGAGAAATACAGATAAAATCATAGGCACAGACTTTTGGAAAAAGTCTAATATTGACTCCCTGTTATAATTTCTTGAAGATTTTCATTAAAATGAGAAAACAAGAAATATTTTACAAATAGTATACTCAAGAGACAAAGGGCTTTTCATTGACATAAAGTTGTATAAATATGTATTTGAATTTTGATCTATGACAAGGGAAAATTATTTTTCAGTTCACAGACAGAGGACATGATAATTAGAAAAACACTTTTCCTTTGAAATCTTCACTGGATATGAACTGGAACTGTTCACAGCATCAGAAAGTAACAGCAACTCCTTGGCTGGCACTGAGCTGTGACAAAGCCAATCATTTCTGTGTTACTGCTCAATGCTGATTATGAGGCTGTATTACTCACATGGCAGGAAAGTGAAAATATTATTTAGAAATGATGATCCCTCTCCAAATATTGAAAGAATCATTGAAGTAGGCAAAAAGGGAAAAACATTTAAATGAACATTTTCCCCCTAGGATTTGTTCTAGACTCCTACTATTGTTTCAAGTTTGTGTACCTTACTGATGCTGTCAAGTAATTTAATCTAAATTATTACATTTTCCAATATTTATACTATTAGAATAAGTCATTCTGCATCACTTTCCAACATTTATTGTTATAAAGTCAAAATATGCAGAAGTGCATGGTAATACAGAAATTAATTAATTCACATAATAATCTTCATGACAATCCTTTAAAAACTTGTTAGTACTTAGAGACCTTTTGGGAGTGCCAATACTTTATTCCACCATATGTCATAGGATTTATATTTTCAGGATCATTACATTTCAACCTTACATACAATGCACTTTTGACATTCAGCGCTCATTTCTCTTCCTCATGAGATCAATGTGTCCTGAGAGTTTTTATTCTCTCGCTTGTCTATCTTTCATTCCCACATTTGTATGCACTCAGAGTACAAAGAAGAAGTCTCAGTGAGCAAAGTGTGCAAGTTTGCACTGAGCCTACTTCTTCCTTGCTGTTTCCCACAGGGCAGGGTTCCACTTAACCATGCACTTTACTGCTCCAACCTGTCTGCCTTACTGTATTACTGCTGTATTTCTTTCATGTTTCTTGATGATTTGTTTGATGGCATATAATGAAAAGATAAGGCCACAAAAAGCTATACTCTAAATTACAGTAGGTATTGCAGGGTAGTCAAGGTATCTTCAGTACGGTCCATAAGCCATCACAATGCATACATTACACGTTTACCTTGAGGTACCATGAGACCTTAGAGCCATCCTCACAATACGTGTCCTAGATATTTGGTAACTGTGTGCTTGACTTCAAAGAGAACTGGGAGGAGAGGGAAGAACGAGACCAAGTCTTGCTCAACATCCTTTGCAAAGTTTGGGTTACCATGCACTCCTTTGTTTGGAACTCGGGCCATTTCTGAACTAGGAAGGTTTTCGCAGTTCTTTCAGTGAGATGAAATATTTTCTAGGTAAAAATTGCAACTAACTCTGGGGTGAAAATAGAATTGAATGTCTGAGAATCAATATTTATTCATTTTTAAAACTATTTTATTTTACTCCTGAATTATTAAAAGCTTCAATCTCTGTTTTGTTTTGTCTTTTAATATATATAAAGAATAGATCAATCCTGACTGCCTAGATTTTAGTGTTAGAGGTTCCTCAGGGATTTCTAGGACTACCACAATTCAATTTGTAACTGAAAATGATTCCTCCAGGTCCCTCAGTTATGATTTCAGATCCAGAAGTCTGTCTGAGCTCTTCTTGTGTTATAAATCAGTTCAGAAACACACTGGGAATCCAAATCAATCCTCAGCTTTACCGTGTAACAGCAATACGTTTAAGTGTTTCCGATAAACATACAATTTAACAAATCCGCAAATCAGACTGCGGTTCCTAGCATCAACCAGGATTCTCTACTGTGCTTTTCTATCCCAAAAGATACATTTTTTTTTAAGGAGCAGCTTGCCCTTTTGCAGGCTAAGTTTAGAAAGGCAGATTTTAAATTATTTCATTCATGACTTCCTAATTTCAAGAGAATTGTGCATGCATCTTGTTTTCATAATGAAAATTATTTTCATTACGAAGATTCTTATGTGGATTAATTTAACAGGGATTTTTTTTGGTGGCTACTCACCTTCGTAAACTGATTTGAAAGCCCTGTTCTATAACATTGTGTTTTGTTTTCCTCTAGTTTAAAAAAATGCAGTCCTACAATACTCACCCAGGCTCACTGGAACTGAAAACTGAGGAAGGAGCGCAGGATTGGCCCCTCACTATAAAGCCCACGACACATGGTGCTGAGATTAACAAAACAAAGTACAGCAGCTATGACTTGGCACAAAGTTTGACAAGCTGCAGAAAAGCAAATGTTTAAATAACTGAAGTGGTACTGATTTTCTATTCACAACCTTTTCTCTTCTAAACAGTATCATATTCTTTTCCAGCACATTTAGATCGCAAGTCAAGCTGTGTTTTATTTTTTATTATAATAAACCCAGTCAGTTTACTGTAACAAAGACATACTAGTGGTGATCACTGTGAAAGCCAGTACGAAATCAGGCTAGGAAAAAAAAAGTCAAATGGCAAAATAAAGGACCAGCCGTCTGGAAAGTTCCTGGATCATGTAAAAAGAAAATAAAAGGCTGTGTTCTTATGAGACTAATGCAGAATACAAAAATATTTAAAGACAAAACTCTCTGTCGTTGCCTACGACATTTGTTAACAGCAGCCATAAACCTTACAAATAATGTCGCATTTATTAAACATTTTCCAAGCCCATCTAAAACAAAATATTAGTATTTTTTTCTTCTAAACATTTCTAGTAGCATTGTTTGTATCTATTCCTCTCAAAATACCACACACAAAAAACAAAACCCTAACATAGTTTTGCAATGGCTTTTTCACCCGTAAAGCAACTTCCTGACCTGAAAAGAAACCACATTCAATCTATGGGATATTGCAAAAGTTTTGTGTGTTTTGTTATATTTGCAATAAATGACAGTGCATGAAAATGTTTACACAAATATCTTACCAGATTTTTATATAACAATCTTCCGTTTTCAAGTTCTGCCTTCATCTCTTCTTGAAATTCAACCAACTAAAATACAAGCACACGAGGATTAGTGTTGGATTTTGTATTTCAGACAGGCATAATTCTCTAAAAATTATTTCTAGAGACAGTTCCCTTATCAAGAGACAACACATGGACAAACATTTCTTTATTAGTACTGGTAGTAGATAGGGATCCTGATTTACTGCTAGCCACTTTCCTTTGGGATTTAATAGTGCCACGAGTCACATGCATAAAAGCCTTCCGACGTAAGTAAAACAGAGCGTGATGTCACAGGAGGCAGGAAGATGACAAAAACATCAGATACAGAGTTCACTGATTTGAACTCTCAGAAATGTGGCTTGTAGACATGTACACACTTGTAGAAAAATGGCAGGATTGCAAATAATCAGCAGAGTTCTAAAAGATCTGTGTGAGATAAGATTTGTCAGCAAATGATACATGGGTCTCACCAATGACAAAGAGATGTGACTACAGAAGAGTGAAAGAAGGATTTCTCAGGGATTCTCCAGCAGTTTCAGAATCAAAACATGCTTAAACATTACACTGTACAGCAGTGTCCTTGAGTTCTGCTGGGTTGGAGCTGTCACAGTTGCTGTCAGTTGGGACCGGCAAGTTAAACATCTATATTTCCCAGTGTGATGAGGAACAGAGTTTGTTGCTTACTGAATTTGCATTTAGAACATTATTAAAACCAGACAATGTTGAACACAACACTGTCATTCATTTTCTTTCATAAAAATGGAGAAACGCTCCCCTTCAGCACAATAACCCAGAAGCTGGAATGCTCAGCCGCAAATCAGGGCAGCTCACATTGTGTGCCTCTGGGAGTTTTATGGGGCTTGATTACAATATCCCAAGTCATGGAAAAGTGCCTTAACTACCACTCTGTGATGAGAATAAGCCACCAGTTCTGTTCAAGCTGTGCCATTGGACTCAAAGAATATGAAATTCATGAGACTAGATACAGAATGCTCACGCATGAGCTTCACCACATAGCAGAGCTGTGACTGCATGAGAAAGGAGAATGCTGTGTTCTGACTTGCTGGATCATTTATGAATTTTACATTAGACTACAAGAAAAAAACACCAGACAACCTCACACACTGCACACGGACACATAAAAACCAAACACAGATACTCAGTAATAATTCAAAGAACAAACTTAGGGGAAAATTCCTTCCTCCACGTATCCCTGCCAGTACTCCAGGGATTATGGTTCTTGTTTTAAGAGAATATTTTCCAATTAGAACACAGTGTAAATGAGCAGTTAAATCACTGCTATACAGAGCTATCTACTCAAACATCCTTGAGTTCACCAATTAGCAGAATGCTGGGCAGGCACTCTAGTCCTTGGGAGAAAGTCAGTGCTTGCCATCTCTCATGATGCTTTGAGAGGAGACTGGAGAGCTGGGGCACAGCTGGGCACAGCTGGGCTGTCTGGGCACAGGGAATCCTGTCAGACTCCAATTCCTAACCACAGGACATATAACAATATTTTCTAATTAGTCCAAGTAAAATACAGTGCTCTGAGCCTGTTTCACCATCATTTACTGTTTCAACACAGAGTGTGCTTCGAATTTCATCTTTAAGCCTTGACTTTTCCTTGTGTAGTGTGTATAAGAAACTGGCTGGCATCTGTACCAGTTTTGTGAACTCCACTTCTGGAGCGAGAAGTCCAGCTGCAGAGCACTACAGCAGTGCGTGCCTTCTGGTCAAACTCCTCGTATTAAAAATAAAGGCTTTCTAATGTAAGAAGAATTTAACCATATTCTGGTTATTGAGAGAATAGCTTCCAGTGGGATATGCAGAAGAGGGAAAAAAAAAATCAGAAACGTCAATAATGTAGTTTATGTTTTAGAATTGTATTTTTTTTCTTTTGGGAACAGAATTACAGTTATCAGAATTATAATGAGAAGGGCTTCTCCAACGGCTTCTGACAGCACTCCAGTCTTATCTACTTGGCAGAAAGTGCAGCAGTCAAGAAGGGCTACCTGTGTGGATAGTGGAATTGGAGGAAGTTTGGGATTAAAGCATGTGATCCATATTTACACAAATGTAGTGCTTTGAAATCACATGAGAGATAGGTAGAAGAGTTCCTACACTGCTGCTCAAATCTCCCAGCTGAGGGAGAATCTGCAGGAAAATACAGCATGTGAGACAAAAGCCTCTATTGCACTGAGATGAAGTGAAGAAAAGGAAAATAAAAAGTAAGCTAGAGGAGAAAAAACTCTGTTCTGATGACTGGCACTTTCAGCATAGTGAGATTTCAAACCTGAGGGGGATTCCTGAACACTGTCAGACCTTAACAGCCAAAACACTAACAGAAGCATCCCTTCCTTGACAATGCAGTGTAGTAGGCTGACCAACTAGTTCTCCATTTCCAATTTTAGATTTCATGCATAGTATCCTTTTTTTAAACTTTAATGAATATAACCTTTCAATAGTCCTTTAGGGATAAGTAGGTTTCTGTATTTTAGAGTGGGAAACTTGGTCATAGAAGGCAGATTCATCTACGGTCACAAGGAAAGCCAATGAAAGGAATGACTTTAGAATTCCAATGCCTTAGCTCACCATCAATTTGTGTTTTTAACATTAAGTTCTGTGAGAATTTTGTAATCCTTAATAAGCACAAAGAAATGTCATTATTTCCCTTAAGATTTACCACAGGTAAGTGAGTTTTCTACAGAATCTCTTGGGAATTTTTCACAGAAGGAATGTTTTCTATAGAAAGAAGATTTGTGACTGTTCTAAAGTTTTCTATTAAAAATGAATAGATCTCAGGAAGAAATATATGCCTTGCAGAAAAAGTCATTTGAGAACTGTCACAAGACAGAAAGGCACTGGGAGGATATGTAGAAGTTATAACAAGTAAACTCTGAGACCTGTCCATGTTTTATCATTTGTTACCAAACGGATATTAGCTTTGGAAACGTTTTTTAGAAAGTTGTATTTTATGCCTTGCCTAGCTACTGTGTTGCTCAGATAACACATAAATAATAAATCACAAATAATTATAGGTCTATCCATGGGTAATGGAATATTTTACAAATTGTACGTTACTAAAAAGGCTTTTGTTGGATGTAACTTGCTATTTGCTCTTATCCTGCCTTAAAAATCTTACTGAATGCATTTCTTTCTATTCTAAAGTAGTCCATCATTTTAGTGTAGTATACTGAGGTTCAGAACTTTCACTGTATTTCAACAAAATTATACAATATGATGGGTCAAGAAGCAACCATACTCATTAAAGGAACACCAGCTCACTATTACTCTACAATGAGTTATACTACCATAAAACATAATGTAACATTATTCAAGTCTGAGACTATTTTTCAGCTTCCTAGCATTGTTTGGTCTATACACTGCTAACAGTCCAAGCCTGTTAATGGTCCTCCAGGAGTGTAGCTAACAAATGTAAAAATTACCATACCTGTTGAATAGTTTGCTCATCACTTTCCATTTTTAATTGCATTCTTTGAACTTGCCTATCTGAAAACAAGAGGAGAAAGAGAAAGCATGAAATTATATGCCTCCATTAATGTATGCAAAATGTTTGCTTCAAGTCAGTCTATAAACCTGGCGGAATGCACAGTGGAGCAGTCCTGGCAGAACGGTGACCTTCATCACTGCCCTTGACATTCACAGCCTTCTTCCTGCTGTTTGGCCGGCTGGTCAGATTGAGATTGAGAAGTAAGTTCAAGAGCCAAGTGTGACTGAGAACCCATAGCTTTTCATTAATACTATTTATGGACATCCTTGCTGTTAGTCACAGCCAGTACAAAGTCGTTTAGCAGGTGGTTCTTCATTGTTCATACAAAACTTCCAAAAGATAAGAAGCACCATTGAATCAGATGATAAGCAGGAATCAGGAATATTTTCTACGTCTAATTCATCTTGCTACTATTAAAGACAATACTGGGTCTAAACCACATGGATGTAACAAAATTAAACAGCCAAATTCTAATCTATTGCTACAGTTTCCAGTTCTCCATTAAATATTTTATAAAGGAAATATACAAGAAGCAACCTGTTGGTAAAGATTGCACATTGTAGGTTTTTTTTTTTATTTTTATTTTTTTTTAAATCTCCTTTTAAGAACTGTAATAAAGCAAAAATATCGGAAGCATAGATTATTTCAAAGAAACAATTTCTGTTAGAAAACTTCCTCAGAAACACTGAAGTACATAATCAGATAACAAAATGTACGCTTGGATATTTTGCAGAAGCTCAAAATCTACCCCCGAGAGAATTTCATATAATGAAGATAAAATAGCAGATTGTCATTTAAAAGCAAAAATACTGATGTATAATGCTGTTCTACTTCAGTAACTTTACAGCACTTATCCGCCAAAAATATAAACTCAACTGCATTGCTAGGCAACATTACAAGTCTCAAAAGCCACAGCAAATATTCCTTTGTCATAAAATAAAAATATGTAAATATATGCATTAAAATTAGAATAAATGTGTATGACTTTCTGTACAAATACACACAAAATTAGCATTCAATACCAAAAAAAGACAACAGCCCGGAAAGAAGTTACAATACTTCTGAAGTGCAGTAACAATTAATTCCTACTTCAGCAACATTTCAGCTGAGCATCTTGAACCACATCATCTTAAAGTTTTACCTAATGCATGCTTTTCTTTTTCAGAGTGTTGCAGACAATTCTCAAGACGAGCAATCTCGTTGCGTAGTTTGAAAACCTCTTCTTTGAACTCTTCATTCTCTTTTTCAAGCTTTTTGTTTCCACGGTCATCGTCTTCAAAGACAACCTAAAAGATTGCAGTGCCTTGAATTTATAAGTGAGGAATCGGGGGTTTCAATATGCTGCACTGCTATAATATTATACAACACAGTATCATATAATTTCTGAATTCTATTACAGAGTCATAATATGAATAGAAAAAAGTTGAGGCTCTAAATAGGTTCCTGCAAGAAGAAAGGCTGCAGTACATTATATACAAAGACTATAACACATGGGGACATTTTATTGACAGGAATAATGCATATCATACTGTTTGTGTGCCCTCATCATTCAGGTCAATTTATTATGGAGGCTGAGTCCAGGAAGGCAGCTGGGGCCTATCCACCCACACTTCCCCCCGTGTTTCTGAAGTGCTGTCCGTAACTAGGCAGGCAGGAGAGGCTGCGGACAGGCAACACCAGGGGGTTGCAAAGTGCATGGCTAAGGAGGGGGGCTTGTTGCCTTTGTGCCATTTCTCAGTGACAGTGCTGCCAGTGTCATGAGGAGCACATCACATGTCAAAGCGGTGAAGTTTTCAGGCTGGGAGCCGCATGGAGTCCATCAGGCCTTCTGATATCAACACAGTTGGTTTGCTACTTGGTGTCGGAGCCACCCAGAGGCAATTCATATTCTGAACATTAACATGGCTTTGCATGCCTGTCACACATAGACCGTGCAGGGGTTTAATGCTATTGAAGACTACGGTTTAAATCTCTATGCAAACAGTGATTACCTTGTAAGAAGGTTCCAGGATAACATACAACAAAAGACTTTAAAGTTATAGTTTTAGTAAAGCAAACTCATTTACATTTTTATTATGCGTGTCCTTTGTTTAAATCTTGCCACGTCCATTATGGAAAAGACTTCTTATGCAACTGGAGCTTATTGGGACAGCTACTCTTTTTTTCTTGTTGGTCTCAAAGCTATTGAAAACATTTGAATATATTGTCTTATGGCTGTCTAGATTTTACTGCCACATATTTCTTTTAAAATTATAGAAAAGCTTTCAGAGCTGGCACGGATCTTTATAGTAATACCGGAATATTAACTAACTCCTGGATCTCTTTAAAATATTAACACAAAAGAGAAGATTCAGACAGCAGCTACTTTGCTTACTAAGGAAAATTTAGGATGCTGTTTGCTCTGCTTGGTAAAAATATGAACTCTGTTTAAAAAAAATTACTTGAAAATAAAACCCTGAGGTTTTCAAATGACATAGAAACTTGAACTGTAAGGTACTTAGGGGTAACATTTAGCCCAGAACTTTCTGTTTTGCCTCAGAAAAACATTTTTGATCTCAAACTAACCAGAACAGATTATCACTGTATTATATAAAGTTTTGGCCACAATGTTTCCATTGATTTTATAAGAAATTGTGTAAATAAAATGCAAAGCATTCTGAAAAATAATTCATGCAAGCTTGTGCTTCTCCATCATTTACTAAAGAAATTTTACTTAAAGAGCAAGTTTTCTTAGCAAACACGTTACTTCTAAGAATGCAAGGTGTCTTCATAAAGTTGTGAAAAATGTTTCAACAGTATTTCACCTTAAACAATCCTTGTGCAGCAAAAAATTTGCTAGATGGCATGTTTGTTTTGAGAAGCTGTATCAAGCTCAGGAAACAGCAGCTCTAGGAGAACAGCACGTGCAATATTGGAGTGCTAACTAACTCTGCTCAGGCTGTAGTCAGCTCAGCCCACTGCAAAACCAACTCCGGATCTCTGAGCTTCTAAGAAGCTGTTACAGCTCTTCATAGGCTGAGGTCCGTTTGTTCCTTTCTTCAGGCAGTATTCGAGCAACAGCCGATGCTCGCAGAAGAACCTTGAGTTTATCGTAAAGTAAGCCCAAACGATTGAATGAATCCCGTGAATAAGTTTTAAACGGTGCCACAACAGTCCTTTAGTGCTTTCATGAAAGGATACAACACTTTCTCCGCCTGGACTTTGCACATTACCGAGGCAGCCTTTAGCTGTAGCCCCACCGCCTGCCAGGGACCAGAACTGCACGTCATTAACTATTCAGGCTCCTGCTGCAATGAGGACACTCATTAGCAAAACGAACAAAGGGACAATTTTCTGTAGCTACAGTCATCTGTTACACTTTGAGTGGCAGGTTTTGTAGCAATGTTCTCTCTACCATCTGCCCACAGCGGTAGCGTTTGGCTTGCTTAAACTGGGGAACTTTCAAGATGTAAGAAAAAAGGGCTGGAGGCTGGAAGGCAATTATGACACGGCTTAGCCAAGAGACTTCAGCATTTCTCACCTTATCTATTTCATTATCTCCATTCTAACAGTTTTAATACTTTAAGATTAAAAAAAAAAAAAAAAGAAAGAAGAAGTATATGCTAAGCCTAAATAAATCCAATTACACTTTTATTAAAGTGATATAATGCAGGTTGTTACCTGCATGCATTAGGCATTTCTAATTATATTAAATAAATATGCATTCATAATTTTGGGCAGTAAAAAAACTTAAATTAGATTTATCCACCTATAATGACAATATTAAAGGCAAATGGCCTTGAGGTAAAAGTGAGAGAATACAGCTATTTATTATATAGTTGTGAAATTCATATTTCCCTTTGGCATCTCAAAGTATTTAATATGCACACAAGATAACTAAGGGGACACTTGAAAAACAGGTAGGATTTTTGCCCTTTTAATGCAAAAATATACAACGAAAATTACCGATGCTATCATATGATACCAAAAAAGACAACACTTGAGCATGTTTCAGATAAAATTATAAACTGCAGTTGTTATTACTGTTAGTTTTTTACGAACTTGCCTTGGTAACAAAGTAACTGTAGAAAATCTGTCATTTAAGTTATCATCTCCCTTTTCCTTCCAAAGCTACATTTTAGGCATTTAAAGTCTATTATTTACACCACAAGAGGGTGCAATGGTACAAGTCGTCATGAAAAACATCCACAATACACCAGTTTTGAGTTGCAGGGGAAATGATCATTCCAGTGTTTATTTACATTTATTGTTGGAAAACCATACATCCGTAACAAGAGTACATTTATAACAATAATTGTTTCATTTTCACGTTTAAAATGTCAAGGTTGAAAGTGGAAGGTTCTAGTACGGCCACTGCTTGCACAAAGCCATTACTTTTCAGGCAGTCACTCTGCTATTGCACTCTTATCTTCAATTCAGCTAATGGGTATACTCTAAAAGGGCTTCCAGTCCTCCAGAATCATTTCAATTCAGGGGATCAAGATTCTACCACTCCTCTGATAACATACTTCAACTGGCAATCATTTTCCTGTGTATTTTCATCCTCTGGACACTGAATTTTATTATGTCATCTACGCAGGTCTTTTAAATGTAACAAAATGGAGGCATCAGAAAGGATAGGACTAACAAATTACTACTGGCCCAGATAACTCCTTTCATTCTTTAAGGCATGTCAGAGACAGAAAAGAAGTTCAGATAGCATAACTTTGGAATGAGAATAGGCATTTCAGTGCAAATTCCTTGACAGGGGAAAACAGAGAATGTTCCCTTTTGCATAAAAGCAGAATTCTCAGAGAACAGATAAAGTTAATTCCTCATTTCCATGTATTTTTTGAGTTCTTTCACTGGGTAATGAGGGCTTTGCCTGAAGAATATTTTATCTCTTTCACAGATTACACAAAGGTCAGGAGCTGCACAGCACCCCATCTTATCAGAGTGACAAATAGAACTGTAGATATTTACCCTACAAGCTCCCCAGTCCGTGTTACTAACATAGAATGAACTTCTGATAAGAGAAAACTTCACCAGTATGCCTCCTAGTTTTCCTGGTAGGCAAAGGGCCTCATCTGTGTCTACCTTCCTCTTCATGAGGTCTGAAACTAGAGACTTAAAGTTTTTTCCACAACTTAGTGGAAGGTCACATCACTAAATTTTAAGGCAGGACATATCTTACTGCAGCACGCTATCTTTTAAGCAGTGCTACTAAATCAAATAACTTGCAAAGATCTTGTGTTCACAGGTACCACTCAACTAAATGTATATTCTTCCAAAATAGCAAAATCAGCTTTGTTGGAAAATAGGTTTTATGTAATCTGTGATGCTGATTAAGAAAAGTCACACTAAGTTTTCCATTATGTAAAACACCTATCACAAACCAGTCAGCTGTTTCTGGGGAGCTTCTAAATCTAAGCTCTCTTGGCTTCTAAGTCTACAAATGTGTGTTCTCTGCAGACATTCAGAATCCTTTGTAGTGGTTGATGAATCAGAAAGTAACTGTTACTCTGTGATAAAAGCATATGATTCTGCCTCCTCCTATACAGAACATACCTTTTTTAAAATTGCTCCCAGAGTTTTTTTCACGTTATTAACCACTCTACAACTTTTACCTACTTGTATGTTCACACAATTACAGCCGCTTTTTTTCCTCCCAATATGTTACGAATTTTTTTTGTTCATAATATTGACATTCATATTACCATTTTGTAAGGAAACAGCTGGATCACGGCCTGAACCTCTGATTGATCTTGCTGAGTCAGCCACAGGAGCACAGGTGAAGGCAATTCTCCTGTGCTGCCGGAAGGGTGGAGCCTGGCTGCACCTCTCCTAAGGCCCATTTAAGAGCTGACTGCTGGTGGGGAGGATCTCTTCTGGAGATCCCTCCTCTGGAGTTTTGCAATGAGCCTAGGACAAGGGTAAGCACTATATTTATTCTCTTTTTGGTATAATAGCCTGCTTAGCCAAACTCTCTTGTTTATTTTGTAATTATGACATCTGTATATTCATTGATTATACACATTCATAGTCCTCTTTTTGCTTCGTTATCTCTTTTAAAGCCTTGCGAAACTTCCAGCAATAGAAGGTGCCCAATAAGCAATAGAAGATACCCAAATGATGCAACGAAGAAATAAAATGTACTCCTGGTGACTGTTGTAGCTAAACTGTTACAAAAATGAATTACTATCACTTCCTTCTGTTAACAAGAGCTAATGACACAGCTTAAATATCCTGTTCTAGAATAGACTGCATAGCTGTCAATTCCAAACAGAGAGAGATATGTAGGTTCCTCAGAGGATACATCTGAGACTCCATCTTTCTCCTTTATGAGTAATACTGTCGAACTTAGGTGGCTGCCAGTAGAAGATGGCATTTTCAGATTTCCTTACTACTGTGCATCTTAATGATGCGCAGGGAGCAGAGATCAAAAAGCAATCTACCACCAGACTTAGCCAAAAACTCTTTAGAAACCAGGACTGCTTCTTATCAGTCTAAAGTACATGAGAAGTCTGCAATGCCTCTTTAAACTTCTCACATTTCAGCAAGCTGCTGACAAGAGTTGTTAACTTGGGAAGGACGTGTTTATATTACTGAAAGGAAAAGGAAATGATGTACAGAAATATGTGACTGAATCAAGTGTCCCATTTGAAGGCTACAGGATGAATAATTAGGACAGTTCTTAACCATTAAAACTAACTATTTCTGTCTGTATTTGTGTGGGGAAAATTAGTCAAAGGGACTTCTCATGTCTGTGGATGGTTATACCCGAGTGGTTGTTGAACTCTGAGAGCTGCTGTAGGAGTTAAGAGAAATCAAACATGAAGGATTTTAATCTTCGTTAGGATACCTGAAATGCTGACTTAAATGACCAATGACACAATTCTGAACAAGAAAATATTTTATTTCAGAAGTTACATGGAGACAGGAGGAACAAAGAGAAATAAGAGAAGTAATGTAAGTATAGAGATGAAATTTTCTGTAACTGAAATGGAATAAAATAGTGCTGAGAGCAATATTTTATTCAAGTATTACATTTTTAAACAAGCTTTTTTTTCTTCAGGATTTACAAAAATATTTTAAAATATTTTATTTTTTTAAAAACAGAAAAAAAAAAACCCCACTGTATCTATAATCAAACTATCACTGATTACACTATCACGTTGAATTGAGTGAAATTGATTCCTTCAGACTCCTTCAGTCAAAATACCTATCTTTAGCAAGAGATATCCCAAGAAGTGTTCTAATATTTTCCAATCTTTATCTTTACTGGGAAAATAATGAAACCAGAGATCACAGAACTGTACGGGTTTGGAAGGATCTCTGCAGATCAAAGTCCAACACTGGTAAAGCAGGCTCCCTGCAGCAGGTTGCACAGGAAGTCATCCTGGAAGGTTTTCAGTATCTCCAGAGAAGGAGACTCCACAACATCTTTGGGTAGCTTGTTCCACTGCCCTGGAACCCTCACAATAAAGTTCTTTCTCGTGTTCATATGGACACAAGAAATTTCCTGTGTTCCAGTTTGTGCACATTATCCCTTGTTTGGTCACAGGGCACTGCTGAAAAACCCTGATGCCACCCATTTGACTTCTGCCCTTTATTTATAAGCATTGATAAGATCCTGCTTCAGTTTTCTCTTCTCTAGATGGAAAAGCTGTTCATCCTATGGGAGATGCTCCAGTTCACTCATCTCTGTGGACCTCTGCTGTACCCTCTCGAAGTTCCTGCCTTTCTTGAACTGAGGAGCCCAGAACTGGATACAGCACTCCAGACACGACCTCACCAGGGCAGAGAAGAGGGGGAGCATCACTTCCCTTGACCTGCTGGCTACTCTATTTTTAATGCACCCCAGGATACCACTGACCTGCCTGGGCACAGGAGCACACTGCTGCTCACAGCCAACCTCTTGCCCACCAGGACACCCAGATCCTTCTCTGCAGAGCTCCTCTCCAGCAGGTCAGCCTCTAATCTGTTCTGATGCTTGCAGTTATTCCTCCCCAAGTGTAGGACTCTGCACTTGTCCTTGGGAGTTCCTCTCTGCCCAACTCTCCATCCACATTTTTCAGTGTTTAAAGGTTTCCAGGTTTAGTAACAAGTTTATAAATCTTTTTGGAAAAACATACCACTTTAGTCCTTTCATTTTCTTGATATTACTGCATTTTTCTTTTCAGATCTTCAATTATGGACTCTTTCTCACACAGTTTGTCACGTAAAAACCTGAAAAGTTTTCCTGATGAACATTCTATATCTTCTCTATCTATGTTGTAATACTTCTATTAGGAGATGAGATTACTTAATGACATTCTTGCATAAATCACATAGCTTTTTTTTTTTTTTAATGCCACAATTTTTTTATTTTTTATTTGAGCACATCATAGTACACATTCCAGAGTTTCTGGTACCAAAAATAAAATGTTATTGTACCTGATATTTCAGATACTTAATCAAGAAATGTGTTATATCTAATAACTAATCTATAGTAATAGAGACTTCAAACATGGAAAAGAAAGGAGAAAAAAAAAAAAGGAAAAGCATATTCTATATGTTTAAAAACTTTTAAAGAACATATCTAAAACTCTTACAAGAAACAAAATAAAGTGCAGTATAAGTACAGTGTAGCAAGATAAACTACTGAAATGTTAACTTCTGGATTACTGACATTTATTTTTGCATCTTGATTGTATCAGTAAGGTGTTTAAATTGCAGTAAAGGTTTTTAAAAAAGCATCTACAATGATTGATTTGCTTCAATGCAGTAAAATCAGCCTTTCAGAGAAAAACAGAATGTGCAGCCCCATATTATACTGAAATGCCTGCCCATTGTGATGCACAGCCCGCAGTAACCATTAGGAAACACTATGCTCAAAAGTATGTGTGAGCTCTTCCTTCACGAGTACCTTGATTAAGTCATTTTTCAAGGTTAGGTGATTTAAATATTGCTTAGCTTCTTTAAAATATTAATAGCAGCAATATTTGTCTCTAGTGCAATCCATTCATATTTGTTTGACTCCTTAGTGAGTGTTACAGTTTCATCTCAGAGCTTCCCACCCACTGAATTACAGTCATCTGGCATGGGGTGAATCTCTACCTGTTTCTACCTGTTTGCTGAAGCTGGACTAAAAGAATCCAAAAGTAAAAAGGTCTTACAAGGGGAAAGTCAAATAAAGGGAACCTAAACCTGCAGTTCCCTACTGAGAACACTTTACTGAAAGCTCCTTGGAATACATATGCATTTTATTTTTACTACAGAAGGATTCATGAACAGGAGCTGGGAAAGAGAACTTTTCAAACACAGTGACATTCGCGTTTTTCTATGTGGCTTATGTGGCAGTGATCTGATCACATGTACTCATCTGCAATTCAGCTAGTAACCTTATTTTTACGGTGAAAGAAAGACAAAATTTAAGTTCCAAACTTTCTAAATTGGATCATTCTTAGTATTTGTATTACACTCTGAAATCTGGAACTCCGAAAACTTAAGGCACAGTTCCTAGAGCATGGTATAAAGTCATTAAGAGTGTACATGATTGGTCATCTTCCTCTCATAGCCTGGGAATTCAATTTCCAAATCTATTGAGACATTCATTTCTGATTGAACCAAGCAGCATTATGTGATTACTATGTCTCTGCTTCTGAAGAGAGCCAGTCATAGCCTCTGTCTTATAAAACAACTTTCAAGTATGCAGAACTGCACAGCTCAACATGAGAGGAGGGGGAAAACAGGACTTGTAAAAAAAAAAAAACAAAAACATATTTTTGTGCTATTTTCATTCTACTTGATGTGGCTTATATGCTTAGTCTTCATGGATTATACAAACACATCCTTCTCCAGGTATTGTCAGAACTGACTTATGACCTATCACTACTCCAATCAACAGTCCTTAACCTTGTGAATGGTTAAAACCTACCTTAATATTTCCTCTGAGAACAGCCAGTGCGTCACATAACTGCTGTTGGTAACTTTGTCGAATTTGGACTTCTTTCTGGAATTTAATGTACAAAAAAAGGAAGCAGGCAATCACTAAAATAAGCAAGCAAACAAATAAACAAAAACAAACAGACAAAAAACTTGCCTTCCGTGCCTTCCTTTTAATTTAAGAAAATTAAATACCATTGAAACTCCTGTGAAAGAGAAAACTGTATTTGTGTTCCTTTTTTATCTTTTTCTTTTTTTTTTTTCATTCTTCAGTCTCTTTTCAGCTTTTGGCTAATTATTGAAACTGTATCTCTTTCTCTAGAAACTGAAGATTCCAAACCGCTTAAAGACAAGCACTTATCAAGGAGTTGTCTCAGATGTTTAAGATGGGAATTAATGCATTGTTTTTTTTGTTTTTTTTTTTTTTTATTTTTTTTTTTTTTAATTTTTCATACGTTCACATCAGGAGCTTGGACATCTTGAAGGCTGAAAGTTGAATCTTGTTTCTCCCTTGTGGTGAGTGCTCACTAGTTGCATAGGACTACTAATGCTGTTGTGAGCTGTGGTTTACTATCTAAAGATCAGTGAATATATATTTTCAAAGAAATACATGGAAAAGAACTGTAAGTGATGTGTATGTACATATCTATTTTAGAAATAACTGCACTAGGATGTAAGACATCTTCACAGCTATGGCTGTTAATATGCAGAGTACAATGTAATCCGTGTTTTATTAATTGCAAATTTACAAAAGACAACTTAGTCATTTTTAAAAAAAAATTATATTAATATTTTGCTTTATCTTATTTTCAATACTTCTGTGAATTATTTTTATTAAATAAAACATCGATCTACAGAACAATGATGTACAAATGAGAGCTGCCATCGAGTGAAGATTGACATTTAATGGAACAAGAACTTTTCTCTTTATCCGTTTATGAAAAGTCTCAATGTCTGTCAGTCTACCATTTACATATTTATAGAGATTCGACACTTGCTCTTCAATTTTTTCTTCATATTGTGCTTGAATGGCACTTTTGTAGATGAACAAATCTTTCTGGAGGGAATTGGTGAGCTAAAAATAAAGATCCTGTTATTACTTATATACAGAGTAAACTAGACACACACACACACATGCAAAAAAGGTGCAACTACTCTGTTCAATACGCTGTTGATGCTGATTATTCACCTAAATACAAGCATCTAATGCAGTTCTATACCTTGTGGTATCTCCTTTGCTCTACAACAGTCAGTTCAGAAGAGCACATGTCCCTACACTGGCAGGAGCTCCCTGTTCCACATCTACAGTGTTTGCTGCCAAACTAAAAATGCCCCTCAGAAACTTTCAATTCTGAAGAGAATATTCATGCAGTAAAGATATTTAACTTCTTCAGGAAATAATTATTTTTTGAATACTCAAGTCTCTGCCAGATGGTAATTAGATACTGCAGAAGAGATCCAGACAGGTCTGTCAATACAGATATCACAATGGAATCCTAGAAAGTGGTCAGAACATGTTCATAAAACTTAAACCAGTAGCCTGCAAAGTTTTTTACTGTAAAAGAGTAAAGATAACTGTATTTTAGCAAGAAGTAACAGAAGAAGTGTTAAAGGAAATGCATTTGGCTTTCCACTGACTTTGATGAGGAAAACACTCAGAAATCTTTATGATGTACAAGGTAGAAATAAATATTGCTTCTAAAAGCAATACCAAAAACATTGAATTTTTGCTCTTCAATATGTTTATACATTACTCATAATCTGGAATGACAAGTGTGTGTTTGTTTGTTTGTTTGTTTTTCCAAGGAAATTAAACATTCTGCACACGTAATTACTTCATATCCTGAAGCATTTTCTTTTGTAATTTCTTAACACTGTGAAGGGACAGATAGCAACATATCACTTTGATGTAACAGTTCTCCCTCTACAGGTCCCTGGAGGCATCTGTCTTCACAAACAGTTAAGGCGTTAACATTGAGAAAGCTTTATTTTTCCTCGTTAAGGACTGCATCTTCGCTCCAAAATCTAAGCATTTAATTTCAGTAAGGCTCTGCTTACATTACACATCTATCTAAGCAAGTGCAGATAATGCCATCTGAATCTTTTTTCTAACTTTGTATATGATTTGCACAAAGCAGAAGCTTTTCTACTACACTATTTCATTTAAGCAGAAGCAGCAGGGCACGTTAGCTATGCTCATAACTGACATGAGGCCCACATTTATTGCTACACTATTAGCTATGATCAGATGGGTTTGAGACTTTACAATTTATCATTTTCAAAATTAAACAATGGTAATCTTGATGAAATCTTCTCTGATTCAGTTAGCTGAGTAACCCAATCTCTAATTCACCTATCAATATTTGTGTATTGGTATATTTTGAAAATAAAAAATCGTATATAGAGTATATGAATGCAGAATAAATGTCTAAACAGATTGCCCAAATATTACATAAAACAGGTGACAGTGACAAAAGTATCTGTTCTATAGCATGAAAAAGACTCAGATATCTTCCTTGATTAAAGCTTGTGTAGCAACTGCTAATTCATTTAATTCTGGTATTTCTTTGATATCTGTTTGTGTTGCATGATCTCTGCTGTGATATCCTATTTTTAAATCATCTGAAATGCAAGGCCTGTAAAAAATCAATTTGAATAGACAACTTAAATAGAACAGCAGTTGCATTAACCAGATTAATCAGTCTTTATTAGTAATGGATATTCAGGAATAAAGTAAGTATTTTTTAATCATTTCACTTGCATGGCATTTTTTAAAGACAGGAACTTAAGAGTGTAACAAACACACCAGCAGCTTCTTTGTGTTTGTTTCATAACAGCAAATGCTTTCAGTAAAATACTGAATAACAATTGAAATGTAAGCAACTCAATCGTTGTACTAAAGAACCTAAAAGAAAGTGCCAAAGAACAGAATGCATTCTGACAGCAAACAGACAGTTTTCAGTGTTCTGTAGAGAAGTCCGTCCAAGAATCCTGGACAGTGCATTTAGTTAGGAGCTTGTTTTTCTATTTCACTGATAAATTTGATTATTTGATATTACTAATTTACTCTAAAAACACCTACCATTAATTTTTAATAAAAACCTACAACAATGCATTGTTAAAAACAGAGCAATGCTGGCGCTGTCAGAATTCCTCTCTGTCACAAGCAGATGGTGTCAGACAACTCCTGCCCAGGGGTAGGTGATCCAAGCCAGCTTAACATCTTAACTGCCCTCGGAGGTGTTCTGCTTTAGGAGCATTCAAAAATATTCCAAGTACAGTTGAATACTACTGGCCACGAAGGGCTGTTTTCATCTCCCCAGGTTCTGTGCAGGAAACCTGCAGAGAGCCCCAGCCGTGCAGTGATGCTGTCAGATGCAACGTATCCCTGCTGGGCCGGGGAGCAGTGGCAAGAGGCACGGAACGGCGCTGAGCGGGCCGGACGGGCAGCTAGCTGAGGCCCAAAGGGAAACCAGCACAGCCCGGTGAAGGCCTCACCGGTGCTCGCGCTCCTGCAGGCCACAGGGCAGCGCCAGCAGCTCCAGCGTGGCCGTTGACAGCAGGCGGGCCGAGCGCAGCGGGCCGCCCCGCCTCTCCGAAGCCATGGCAACCAGCGCTCTGCCCCGCCTGCCCGCCGCGCCGCTTGGAGCGGGGTGGGACGGGCTAAGTGGCGGTAGTGGCGATAGTGGCGGTAGTGGCGATAGTGGCGGGGCTCCGCATGGCCGTGCTGTGGTGGCGGTTTGTGCGTTGCGTCACTGTAGCCGGCTGCTCGGCAGGTTCAGGCTCTGAGCCCTGCCTTTTATTTCACCCGTACGGAATTCATAGGTTATCCTGACCCACAACGATCATCGACTGCAACTCCCGACATCCAAGCCCTATGTCTGAGAGTGGTGTCCAAAAGCTCCTTGAACTGTGCCGCCGTGGGGCCGCGCCCGCTGCCCAGGGCAGCCTGCTCCATGCCCACCGCCCTCTGGTGAAAAACCTTTTCCTACTATTCAACCTGAACGTTTCAGTTATTGCCAGGCCAGGGAACACATCTGCCTCAGGGGCATCAGAGCGTGTTTCAGAGGAGATTGGACAATGTACTGCTGCACCCAAGTGCAGCAATTCTCTCAGCATCTCCATGGCCTTTGGCTTGACCCAGCCCTCCTTGCTCCAGCCTGTGTGAATGTAGAGGTGAGGAGCCCAAACGGGCTCTTTGAACTGCATAAGACTGTGAACCAAAGGTGGAGGAAATAAGGAATAGTGGCCTGTGTGACAGAGGTAGAAGAAGAAAATGCAATTTCATGCCGTTTCAGACTGCAGGATAGAAGATCATGTCAAATGTGAGCATATACGTTATTAGTGGTCTGTCTGCTTTCACTGTAGTAACAAATGTAGGCATTGACATTTTAGTGTTGAAATGGTTGAGACAACAGTGAGACGATCAACAGCAACTATGATTTTCTCATAATTCTCCCTTGACAGAAGTCCATCAGAGTATGGGCCATCTGCAAAAACAATGTAGTTATTAATATTTGAATGTGCTATATGAACTGTAGTGTTCTGGTCTCAATAATTTTAGCATTTACACTAAAAATCACTTAAACTTTGCTGAAACTCAAGCTGCGTGTAGAAAGCACGAGTTGAAGAGCAAACATTAATACCACTCTGCTCTCTAGATGTAGGAGCAAAATAACCTCCTACATAAACAGAAACCACAAGGATTTTTAAACAGGATGAGCCCTTTTAGTTTTTGCTAGGATTAACACCATATATAAGTTCAGTGATATATAAACTTTATGGACCAGAAATTATTGTAGGCATTGTTTAAATAATAAATCATTTCTAGTATTTGGAGTCATTAGTGTGGGTGAAACCTTCCTAACCTCAGCATATGGGATTCATTGGCTTATAGAAAAAAATTGCCTTTAACTACAGAAACTAATAAATAAATTTTTAATTAAAATTCTCTTTTATTTCTTTATTTATTTATCTATTTATCTATCTATTTATTTATTTTAAGCTCTGGGCAGCATTTCATTTTATCAATAAGAAATATGGAAAGGGATACAAACTAACAAGTTAAACTTAAATTTTTAGAATTGTTCTCTTTCTCAAGCTCAAGGTGAAGGTGAGACCAAAGCCATCTCTATATCAAAGAAATGTAATTGGTAAGAAATCTAAGTTAGCTATACTACCAAAAATAAGTCATCACTTACTACTTTCAGAAATGTTACCCGAGTTAATATAAAAAGGGAGATGTCATTGTTATGCCGCATGCAGAGTAGTACTTTAAACTAATGCTTCTGACTTTGGTATTCTCAGGCTTTTTCTTTCAGTTTAGCAAAAAATGGTGAAGGTAATTGAGTGAACATAGAAAATCCAACATTTTTTTGGTGATGTATTTCATCCTGACTTGGTTGTTTTCTTATTATTGATTGCAACCTGGTCATACTATTCTAACTACTGTGTTTATGTTAGTAGCTTGATGCTTCACACTATAATTACTGCAGTCATGATAACCTTGTTTATTTAGAAATGTCTTTGCTGTATAATCTGAACAAGGCTAACTATTGAATCTTTTAAGATAATAATCAAGTTATTTGTTTTTTTTTGTTGTTTTGTTTTGTTAATCCAATTCCCTGAAAGATGTTATGATATTTTAACCTAGTTACAAGCTGCTGAAAATGCATTTGAAATGGTGCTGTTGACAAATCTTAAATAGTATCATACATGTCATAATAAAATATTGGCTTTAACTTAGCAAAACACAGTTGGTTCTCTCTCCAGGATAGCTGTTCTTTCACGGCCTTCTGTGGATTCACAAATGGGAGACGGGGCTTTTACATCTGCAACTGCACCTCACCAAGCTTAGATGAATGTGACCTCTAAGGAGCTGATGTTTACAGTAGCACATAGCATCTTTTTAAAACAAGGTACTTGCTTATTACTTAACTACAACAGGGTAGGAGTCTGTTATGTCAGAATGGAACAGCAAAGCTTTTGTGTCTGTACATGGTATGCCTGTCTGTCTGTATAGCTTGGAAGTATCCAGATTCAATGACACAATGGAATTGGCAATAGACAATAAATCTCTCCCCTTCGATCTACCTCAGATTTTGCTTCAGATTCTAATTGTGATAATTTTACATATTCTGCCTCATTTGACTGACAGTCATCAATAGATAATTTCTAATGGAGTCTCCAAGGTAACCAGGCTTATGTGCTAACAGTTCTTGATATTTTCTCTTACAATCCAAAATTTATCTTAGTCCCTTATTACACAAAAACAAGTAGAGATGGCTGCAATACAAGTACAACAATTCAAACAACATGTGCATTTCCTGCTTTTTCCTGAATATAACAGGCACTGTTGACCTGAGAAAAATACAGTAAGTCCATTTTATTCTGTCTGTGTTGGAAAAAGTGAACTGATCTTCAGGCACATAGCTCCTTTCAAAGGCCAGTGAACTTCAAACAAAATATAAAAGACAGTTGCTCTTTGTTGAAACTAATGATGTTAATCCCTCAGAAAATTGGGGGGAGGGGAAAATAAAGTAGTAGTAGCACTTTCAGAAGAGAGATGTATTTGCAGGTGGAGAGGATGACAGATTGTAAATCCCTTGGGAAAAAAAAAACAAAAAACACAACAAAACACAAATAGAACAAAGAAGCAGGCTGATATTTTGCTGCACGTTAAGATCAAAGTCTTTACTATTGCTACACTGTTATTAAGCCAAAATGGTCCTTGCATTCACAGGCCCTCCTGATTTCCCCATACTGCTGCAAATATTTTGTTACCAGGATCCTTTCATAAAAGTATTTGCAATTATGTCATATCTGAAAGCTAAGGCTATGAGTCAAGACTAAATTTATTCATTGCCAAGTTGTATCCATTTCATTTTGGCTAGTGCTGTCCTTTAGCTTCATCAGCTCTTCTCACTCCCTAGTATTTCATCTGTCAGGTATTTATGGAAGGCCCTTTTCAACCTGTGCCAGATAAAGCAATTCAAGAACAGTTAGTCTCTTGTCACTGGTGCTCCAATCGTTTTAATTCCCTTCTGGTCATGATGCAGTCAAAATGTAACATCCTTCAGCAGTATTGATCAGAAATAGATAAGGTATCCAGATGAGGTGATAGTGGTGAAGCTACAACAATTCCACAATCTGGGTCTCTGCTCCTGATGATTTCCCACAGCTGATATTCTGCTAATAGCAGAAATATTCACCTGTCACTGAGTGGATGTCTTCCATTTGCAACTCTGATTTTCATCTACCCTTGGAAGCAGCTCGATTTCTAGTCTCCGACTGTTTCCTATATGGTATTTCAAAAATTTTTATTGTAAAAATGCTGCTCAGCTCTATTGCCACTAGTGAAAGTCAACTGCACACCATATGGCAGGGTAATTAATGAAAATATTAAAGTCAGTCCCAAGACTGATCTTTAAAGAACTCCACTGCCAAATGTCTTTCAGCATAATGATTCCTTTAAATTATCTGCAGTTTTCTCTCCTTTAATGAGTCCCATAGCCACCTTTCAATTCTTGTTCTAATCCCCATTTTCATTGGTTTAGTAATGTCTCATGCTGAGCAGTACTAGAAATTTTATTGAGGCCCAACAAGATTAGACATACTAAATTTCCTCTAGTAATTTTGTATCAAATTCAGAGGGACATGCACAATCCCTTCTGTTCAGCAGAAAGGCCCAGATCTGTTATATAAGTTGATCTCAGTTGGGATTCTCACTCTGAATTACTAAGTAATTAATGTTTAAATTTTATAAAATTGTGCTTGCATAGAAATCACGAGAAGATTGCTTATATTTTCATGTATGGATGATGTAACTCTTAACGAGTGCTTCTTTGTAACAATTTTTAATGTTTCAAATAATTTGAATACATACAGAAAATCATATAGCTAAAACATTTCAAAATTCCTACAGATATTCACTCAAAGCAGCAGAAACATGACTTCGCTTTTCAGTATGACTGAATTGAGTTTAGATACCATTTTGCTGGGAGTTACTGGTACAAATTCACTAATATTCACTATAATTCACTTTTAAAATTATCTCATAATGTTGAAGCAATATTGAATCAGAAAAATAATAGTGTTTGTATATTTAGCCATAACAAACTAGATTAGGAAAGGTTTAATTATTTACAGAGTAGGACATTAATAAGGATGAATTGATGTCACCCCTCCTCTGTAATGGTTCCACCTGTGTTATTTTTTCTCATTAGATAGTGGAGTTAAATAGCTGCAATCTGACCTTGCCTTAACAGTTAATTCTGTGCTGTGTAGGCGGAAACAGAACAGGTTGGTATTGTGATGAGGTAGGTTCTTCCCCTAAATTCCATTGGAGCTGGAACAGTACTTGTTGAGCTGGTTACACTGCATGTAACCACAGTCCTTTCCCACAGGACGGATCAAGCAGTGGAATAACAAAGGTATTTTATTTAATTAGATGCTGTTCCTCGACTCTGAAAACATGAACTATGCAATGTGGTTTTCTGCTAAGCTCACCCATGTGTGAAGTAGTGATACCTCTTTTTGCTGCTTACCAATGGTAGGGAAAACTGACTATTGCAAGGTTTTGGAGGACAGGGCAGATGAGACTGTT